CTCTTGCGCAAGAACCAGGAGATGAGCGCTCCCCCGCCCGGAGGCTGGAGGCCAGGTGAGTAAAAACATTTTTGTATACCCAGCACCCGAGTATACCCCGCAGAAGGGGTGCGGGGTTTGTAAAAATGAATATAACCCACGGGTTATATTCGCTAAAATACGGTACATATTCATTTAATATCTGCAAATTACTAAGAATTTCAGCAGAGAATCAAAACTGAAAAAACAAAAGAATGTTAATATGGAAAGAAATGGACTTGGCCATTTTGGCTCTGATTCAGTAAAACACTTAGGACCAGATCCCCAGCTAACAAACTTAATACCAGATGAGAATCTGAACCATAATTGCATGCTTCAAGCCCATTCAACAAACCACTTAAGCATATGCTTACATACATTGGTATTAAGTTAATGGAAATTAAGCACATACTTTACTACTTTGCTTACTTAGGGGCTATCATGCTAAATTCCCTTGACTATTAATAGAGATAAGATTTCTTTCTTGTATTTCTTTTTACCAACCATTACAGTAAAATCTTAATTCTGTCTCCAAAACAGTGGATAAACTAGTACCTGAAAAATGTACACTATAACTGGACCAAGGTTTATGAAAACAAAAATATTTATCCAAATAAGAACCATTCGGAAAACATTTTTGCAAGCAAAAATTTACCTAAATGACATAATTCAGTTTCTGTTTGATCAGTTATCCTAAATTTGTATAATTTTCAATATTCTTCCTTAATTACTTCATATTGTAAACAGTTATCCACTGAACATATATGCATATTTTCAAATGTATTAAAAATTGCACATTATACTTACTTGTAACCCCATCCAGTTATTCCTAAAACGAGAGCCAACACTAAAATGGTGCCAGCAATAGCTCCTATTATTATATTTGTACTAACAACACCTGGGAAAAAGTGAAAGACAAAAAAATATATATATACAGAAATTTAAAAATAAAAATATACAAAGCAGCAAAAGAACTGTGTTCTACAGATTTGTTTAGGCATCTAGATCTTTGCTGAATTATATAAAACAATTCTAGATTCCTATTAATGGCATTAATTTATTTAACAAAGGACTCTTTCAAATGAGGAGCCACTGTTGTTTGAACATGTAACAGAAAATTAATTGAATTAATTGCTTTCAAAATTAAGTTATAGCTACAGGAAGTAAATTAGCTATTCAGAAATATCCAATTGTAAATATAATACAACACCACCAGAAAGACCTATGGAACTATGAATCTATGCAACTATATTAGCATTAAATCTATGATTTAAATACTGATGTTAAATCAAATTAGATCACTGAAGGGACTGCACATTCTTAGACTTCTAAATTTTAATGGGGAGATGCCTCATAAAATGAAATAGCATATGTAATAAGAGACATTGTCTTTGTACCTGTGTAGGATGGGCAGGAGAAGAGGACAAAAAGAGTCAGCAATTAATTTATACAACATTTATACAATACTTTGAGGCTCTCTTTATTTGGGACGGGAGGAGGCCCTGGGACCATTCTACTAATCTTAATCAAGAATAGTTCCATTTATCTTAATAGGTTCATTCACATGAATGAGGCAAGCAAGAGACACCTTATTTCACTTTTACAATCCACTTGGCACCCTTATGAATTCTATAGGAATCAAGTAGTGCAGATACAGTTATAGGATCGAGGCATTTTTAGAATTTTTTTTAATATATATTTTTTTAAAAGGAAGAGGTCAGACTGTCTAGGATACTGCTATCGGCTAAGAGAGGGAGTAACTGATCTAGCTTTGCTTACTGAACCTTCCCCAAACCAAAAACTGGCCTACAATTTTACATGTATTTCATATATTACCACAAATATATGTGTTACACACCTTTGCCCATCACTTCTTCATCAAAAATTGAAGCATCTTTGTAAGGAATGCTGCAGTCATCTCCTGCCCAGAACCAATCACAGACACACTTGATTTCATTGCTGCAAACCTGCAGTTCAAAACATGACCCAGAATAAAATTACAAAATGAACTTTTTTCACTATTTAGAATATGAATTATACAGAGTTGTGTGGAAAATTGCCTGTAAAATTCTGTACAACATTTTTGTTGTTTCATTTTGGGACATTGGGTCCCTTAGATTTCAGGGTTTTTTTAAATAGCTTAAATTGATAATTTCACCTCAAAAAGTGAGTTTCAGCAGAAGATAAATAGGGGCTACCAAGGAGTATATTGTGGCTTCCTTAGTGCAGTGTAGATATGAGCAGTCTGGGGCACACTTTATATTATGATAGGGACTAGCCACACAATAGGACACTTCAGCAGCCCCAATCTCCAGCACAACATAGGACCAAATACAGGTTGGACCTCCCTCGTCTTGCACCCTGGGGACTTGACTGGTCCCGAATGAGGGGTTTGCTGGACCAGGAGAGGTCCCTCCCAATGTGACCTGTGCTGAATTGCTGCCCCTGGCTAGGACTACAGTCTGGCACTACTGCTGGCTCCCCAGACTGGAGCTCCCTAGCTACTGCCGGAGCCAGAGCTCTGAGGCCACTGCTGCTACTCCTCCTCCGCCCCTCCCCGCCGGCTGCCTCCCAGCCTCAGGGGGCAGAACTCCCTGCTCTGCCCCCTGCCCATCCATACTCCCACCCCAACATGGGGCTCCCGGCTGAGTCACCATCCCCCCTCCAGCGCTCCCTCCCGCTGCACTCCTGCCCTGGGGCCTGACCTCCCTATACATGGGCTCTGTGGTCCAGGAACATCTCTGTCTTGCCAGATCAGAGAGTCCCAGTTAAGGGAGGAGCAACCTGTACTGTAGCTGTGAATTGGCCAACAACTGCCCACACTGGGGGAATTTCTCATCTATCAAGATCCAGCTGCTTGATGATTGAACCTTTTGTTCTGCTGGTACAATACAAAAGGTCCAGAATATGATAGGGAACTGAATCTGGACCTTTATACTTTAGAGATTCCTAAATTTAAGTCCTTTAAATTCATATATGATTTATCTGAGAAAAGATGAAGCAAGTTGGAGGAAGTGATGAAAATGACATACATTACATAATTATTGGAAGCTTCACAGGGGTAGCCGCGTTAACTGGAAAAACTTAAAAAAACAACAAATAGTCTAGCAGCACCTTAAAGACTAACAAAACATGTAGATGAATGATAGAAATGTAGCCGTGTTAGTCTGGTGTAGCTGAAACAAAATACAGGTCTATGTAGCACTTTAAAGACTAACAAGATGGTTTATTAGATGATGAGCTTTCGTGGGCCAGACCCACTTCCTCAGATCAAATAATGGAAGAAAATAGTCACAACCATATATACCAAAGGATACAATTTAAAAAAAAACATGTAGATGAATGATAGAAATGTAGCCGTGTTAGTCTGGTGTAGCTGAAACAAAATACAGGTCTATGTAGCACTTTAAAGACTAACAAGATGGTTTATTAGATGATGAGCTTTCGTGGGCCAGACCCACTTCCTCAGATCAAATAATGGAAGAAAATAGTCACAACCATATATACCAAAGGATACAATTTAAAAAAATGAACACATATGAAAAGGACACACAGGCATTCACCTTTGAAATGTGATTTTACCCCTCCCCCTTCTGTTCTGTAATGTGATTTGTCCTTTTCATGTGTGTTCATTTTTTTTTTTTAATTGTATCCTTTGGTATATACGGCTGTGACTATTTTCTTCCACTATTTGATCTGAGGAAGTGGGTCTGGCCCACGAAAGCAAAACATGTAGATGGTATCATGAGCTTTCGTGGGCACGACCCACTTCTTCAGATGATTGGAGTATTAAAAATCCAGATCCAAAAATCCAAAGCTGGATCTGGACTTTTAATTCTCCATTAATCTGAAGAAGTGGGTTCTGCCCACGAAAGCTCATGATACCATCTACATGTTTTGTTAGACTTTAAGCTGCTGCTAGACTATTAATAATTTTTGTAATAATAGTTTGTACCATTATTGTAATACATAACTCAGACTGCCTAGACTCTGATGTATTCACTACCTATATATTTGACACACAATCTTTACAAGCATGTCTAAAGAATGAACCTGTACCACCAATTCAGATTACCTTTAGTAAAATATGATCTACCTAGTAAAATAAAGATATAAACTTGAATGCATTCAGTAAAAGTAACAGAAATATGAAAGTCAAGGCTAAAAAACATGAAAACATACTCCATGCCCTGAACAAATGTTGTCATCTATCGTGCCTGGGCAGATGCTGAAGTTGAAAGAATCAGTGGGGAGACATCTGTGCTCAAAACACATCATGTTTGGGCCACATGGTGTTCCATCCTCAACATAGCCCAGATCCGTCTCTTCATCTAGCTTGACATGGCCACCACTGCAAAACAAACAAACAAAGATTCAAGATATATTTGTGCAGTGCGTTTCAACATATGACTGTTCAGTAAACTGGGTTCTCAGGGGTCACAGTCATTTTTGCCGGTGTCATTTTAATATGAGGAAACCTTGCAAGATCCATTAAAAATATTGGGGAGGGTAGGAGGCTTTTTGTTAGTGAATATAATAAAAATCAAAGATACTTATATTTCTACCCAAGCTATGCTGTCTGCATGCTACCCTTTAAAATACTCAGATTAAACGTACATAACTCCTGGAGGCTGATGTTCACTATCTAGGTACAGAATGAACACAGGTCACAGCAGGGCAAACTTCCCCAAAATGGCATTGTAAGTGTCTCAAACCTAATCTGGAAGGCGCACCAGAGGAGTCAGACTGAAGTTCAATGTACATGAGTTTTTGGTGCGGTTTATGTTTTTGAAGGGATTTTATTCATGGCAGCAGTCTCTCTCACTAAAGAAGGAACTAGCTAACATTTCTCTAGTGGATTAATTTGGAAGGCAATATCATCTCTGATCCACTTTATAGGCTTTAAAAAATGACCTGCAGTTGTAGGATTTCCCCAGCTGTACGACTGAAGAAGTGATTTCACCATCAAGTTCTCCAAGTCTTGGGACATTAGAGATATTAGAACACAGAAGATATCCACAAAGCACATCCCTGTATTGAGAGGTTAAATAGACATTCATTCAGAACAAAAAACATCAAATAAAAATTGTTTACACTTATTAAAAAATTAAAGCAGTTGTCAAGTCTTTTGTTTTTTCACATGTGCTAGTAACTGACACATAGCCTACCAGTATGGCAGACCACTACATATTTCTTCTTTGCATATGTAAGGGTATGTCTACACTACCACCCTAGTTCGAACTAGGGTGGTAATATAGGCAACCGGAGTTGCAAATGAAGGCCAGGATTTGAATTTCCTGGGCTTCATTTGCATAAAGCCGGGCGCTGCCATTTTTAAATGTCTGCTAGTGCGGACTCTGTGCCGCACGGCTACACACGGCACGGACTAGGTAGTTCGGACTAAGCTTCCTATTCCGAACTACCGTTACTCCTGGTGAAACGGTAGTCCTCGTGAAGCCTAGTCCGAACTACCTAGTCCGTGCCGTGTGTAGCCGCGCGGCACGGAGTCCAAAGTGGGTACAATCAGAATGGTGGCTTTTTACACCAATTTTTCCCAGATGTAAATTACGTTTCAGAGTTCCAGAATGTCTACACTGCAGCTGGGTGATGTAATTTCCATTGTGGGTACACAGATTGTGCTAGCTCAGTTCCAGATAACACATTAAACTAACAGCACAGGCAGCAGCTTGGGCTGGCCACCCCAGCTCAGACCGAGGTGGGTGGGTGGGCTTAGATTCATGTATCTACCCCAAGCTGCCACTGGAGTTGCTATGGCCACAGTGCTGTTTTCAGTACACTAGCTTGAGCTGAACAGGTGTGAGTGTGTCGATCTATGATGGGAATTAAGGCCCAGCTGTAGTACAGACACACTCTGAGAGCAAAGTGTATGAGTGATATTACATGATGCATGTCAGAGCCTCCAAGCAGTGAGGGAGGCAGAGAACGAATGGCTATAACAGACCCTAAAACTTCCTGGATTCTGTGCTGGTGTGACGGCCAAAATGGCCCTGGCATAAATTTGGCTGATCTGAGAGCTGTTCTGATACAGCCCCTCCCACCCGCCTCCCCCAGACTTCTAATGGGCAGCTGCTCCACAGTCTGTTGCAATTGAGAATCCATGAAGTTGATGCAGACTATAGGGACTCTCCTTCCATCCCTGTCCCCATTCCTGGGGCTTGAGTTGTAGTGATCCTTAGAAAACAGCTGTCTTCTTCAGTTCCTGTGCCAGGGTGAATCCTCCTCCAGCCAGATCCAGGGCTTTTAGAGCCTGTTCATGACAGGGGAGGGATGGACCAAGGGCAACAATCTCACATAAGCTGCTTTCCAGAGTACATGAACTTACTGTTTGTTGCACTGTATCCAAGTGTCCTTGCCCCTTCCACAGTTACCTTTCTCAGTCCCTTCAATATTCAGTTTCTCATAGCAGTATCTGTCAGCAGCTGTCACTTCTAAAAACAGAAACGATTTTCTTCAAATAAGATTATGCAACATGTTAAAAGCCTGGTGCACATTTAATGTTAGACATTAGATCACAGATTAAATAAATCAAAAAATATCTTCTATTTTATTTCAGGGATTTGGCTCTAATGATCTCTCCAAATATTTCTATATTCCAGACCTTGTTTATAAGTGAAGACCAGTTTTCAAGAAAAAACAATGTTTTTTTATTATGGACGGATTGAGATTGTAACGTGTGTATGGATAAATCTTGAGTTATAACAGCATTAGATTATAAAGCCAAATACTTGCCAGGAATCCTGGATCTCTTCACTTATAAATTAATAAATAAAGGAAGAACCAGTTCAGACAATAACTCCTCCAAAACTTTGGCCTAATACTCAAACCTAGTTTTTTTAAAAAATACAGCTAATTTCTCATCTTTTCCTGTATTATTTTTCCTTTTAATGTACCTAAATATTTTCAGCTTCTATCAGGCACCAGTAGTTTAAGTGCCTGAGATACAAGGCAAGCTGTTCTCTTTCGTTCTGTCCCAAGCAGCAGGAGGTACTAGATACTTTATGACATAGCTGCTCTCAGAAGACTACCAGCCCAATTATTCAAGACCCAACACGTTCTTTGGATAAGCTTTATAAAAGCATCTGAACTTTCTGAGTAGAGAGCAAAACCAAACTTAATCTCTCAACTCAGAGTTGCTGATTAGAATTTGTATTGTTTTGCTTCATCTCCAAAGAAAGCTGAAGTTTCTGGCTGAAATCAGTTAGCTTCTTCCAGCACCAAGAGATATTCAAGGCTAAAGCACCCTTCATTTGTACTAGAACAGCACAGAGCAGTGAATATACTTGTCCACGACATAGCAGGCACTGTGAATGACCTGTTGCTGAAGACATTTCCCACCACATTAGTATCAGCAGTAATGGTTGTGCACGAGTGCCTAGGGCTACGTCTAGACTGCATCCCTCTGTCGACAGAGGGATGCAAATGAAGCACATCAAAATTGCTAACGAAGCAGGGATTTAAATATCCCGCACCTCATTAGCATAAACATGGCTGCCGCTTTTTTCTGAAACGGAGTTTATTCGAAAAAAATAACAGCAGTCTAGACGTGGATCTGTCGAATATAAAGCCTTTTCTGACAGATCCTATATTCCTCAAAAAATGAGGTTTACAAGATCTGTCAAAAAAGGCTTTATTTTCAACAGATCCACGTCTAGACTGCTGTTATTTTTTTCGAATAAACTCCGTTTCAGAAAAAAGCGGCAGCCATGTTTATGCTAATGAGGCACAGGATATTTAAATCCCTGCATCATTAGCTATTTCGATGTGCCTAATCTACATCTCTCTGTCGAAAGAAAGGTATAATCTAGACACACCCTAGGAATCTTAGTCATGCACCAGGACCTCACTGTGTTAGGTGCTGTACAAACAAATAACAGATAGAGCTGCTGCCCCAAAAGCCAACAATCTAAGGTTATGTCTTCACTACCACTTATGCTGGCAAAACATATGTTGCTCAGGGGGTTGAAAAAACACACCCCAAGTGGAAATGGTTTAATTATGGTGATGGAGAGCTCTCCCTCATCGGCATAGAGAGACTCCACAATGGATCTCACAGCAGTGCAGCTGCATTGGTATCGCTAGGCTATTGTAAGCTCTCTAGGGTCGATATAGCCTAAATTGAATCTATTTTTCTACATGTTGTCATGTTCAACACACACAGTTTCATTTCTAACTGGATGTGTGATTTTAAACAAGTTTCATTAAACTGGTGGGTACAGTTCTATGTCAGGTCTAAGTTAAATGAATATAAACCAGGTGAAAACAGGCAAAGGAGTGTTCATACAAAATTCCGCAGCTTTAACTATATTGATAAGCTCTACATCAGACATGAACTGGACCTCTGGCTATCATCTTTTTTTTGAGCCATAGTTTCAAACACTTTCCTAACTGCTAACTAAAGAGAGGTAAACCAGTCAGTGTGAAGAAACTGACCACCATGACAGTCTAGTGGCAGCATAATAGAGAGGTTCTGGACTTGCCCTAGCCTCCCAGGGCTAGCTAGGGCCAGGAACATAGCAGAAGCAATATGTTCAATCCCTTGAGCGAAGAAACTCTTAAGTGATTTGCTCTATTAATGCAGAGATCAACAACAGTGGTCACAGCAAAGCATCAAGCCAAGAATTCATTGGCTGGAGACGTTGTTATGTAGAAGGCCAGGGACAGAAGTAAAGTGGGGGAAGGAAGCCAGGGACAGAAGTAAAGTGGGGGAAGGAAGATAGAGAATTGCACAGCAACTGTCCACAATCTTTCACAAAAAAGAGAAGAATCATCCCAAAAGTGGATTCAGACAAAAACCAAAAACCACAGGGAAAAGTTCAGAAGGGGATTCCTCTTTTACATATGGAACCCAGTCTCACAATAAGTACATAGCTGCAGCTAAATTTTGACCGATTTTAATGATTCCAGGTAGGTGTCTATAAGAGATTTGAATCTTTAGAGCTATATCAATGAAAATCTATTTAGAAACAATAATATTTTCTTACTTTCACCCCAGATGTATTTACACTGCCGATCCCTGGTTTTACATCTTCCTCCAAAACAAATACCCTAAAGAGACAGAAGACAGACAAAACAATTTTTTTCTTCACATTTTCACAACTGGGTCAAAGATTCCCCCTGACTTCAAAGGATCTCAGATCAGAACCTATAGGAATATGTTTTCCCAGCTATAAAAAATAAATCCAAATTATAATTACCTGTTTGTTATCACATGAATACCCATCCATTTTGTGAATATTGGGAGAACACTATAAAAAGAGAAAATAACCACTTGATAATCCAAATAATGAGGAGGCTATACAAACAATTTCTAAATCTAAAGCTATCAGTAGCATTTCAAAATTTCTTCCAGTATGATTTTTTCATAAACAAAGTAATTTTATACAACTTTTAAACACTTACAATACTAGTACAATAATTCTCATACTGACTGAGATTGTACATGCATTTACTTGTTCCCTTTTTGTCAACCTATTTTAAAATGTTACCTGGCTAGAGTTTCCTGTGCAGTTTTCTTGAATATCACAATCATTTACTGCATCTCGGCACACAACTCCTTTAGATTCAAACTGAAATAAGTTTGGAAAATTGCTTTATTAGTATTTCTATACCCAGCTTTTTCATCCAATAATCATTTCAAAAATTTTAACCAGACTCAAACTTTGCAACTGTTTTGGAGAAGCAGTTTTGATAAACATTTCTGCATCATTGCCAAAAAGCCTCAAGACATGAAGAAATGGTGAAATATGCCACAAGAGGGGCCTGTTAGTGCTGTATATTCTGCTTGCCAATCAAGCACCACTATTTCTGATTCAGTTGCATCACCCATTAAGGACATGCCTCACGTCCACCTCAGAGGCCTCAGTTTTTCCCAGCTGGTCTACTACTCTGTGCACCCCAGTTCACTTTTTTAATTTGTGCTCTCTTTCTGCAAAATTGTATATAAGATTTGCTGTGCTACTGTGTTCTAGATCCTCATATGGTGTAATCAGTGTAGCTTCATTGACTTCAGTGTAGCTAAATTCATTAACATGAATGGAAATTTTTTTCTGACACCTGGTTTTTCCAGCTGTGGACAAAACTGATATGATAGATAAATAGGGCGACATTTTTAAGATGCCTAAGTGATGTAGGTGCCTAAAGGTTTGTGTACAGCACGAACTATGCAATTCGATTATTTTGAAATAATTTCAAAATAACCAACAACGTATTCCAACTTCTGTAAACCTAATTCTATGAAGAATAATGCCTATTCTGAAATAGCCATTTCAAAATAAGGCATGTGTAGACGCTCCACTTCTGCTATTTTGAAATAACACCTCACCAGGACCATTCTAAGTTATTCCTCCTGGAGCGCTAAATCGAGATAGCATAGCTACATTGGGGAAGCCTGCCTCGGACTAATTTTACACTTCCCTGTAGTGTAGATGTGCTTTTTTGGAATAAGCCAGGGTGACTGACCCTTTCAGAGGAGTGAGGACCAATGGATTGGTGGTTACCTGCTACTCACTTAGCCTTAAGGGAAAGCAACTGGGCCTTATAATTGGAAGCTATGACAGGAAACAGGGAGGAGAGAAGAAAGTTGTTGAGCCTAGGAAGAGATATCAAGGTCCTGGCTAGACAAGACGTTGGTCTTCAGAAAAGATCCCTGAAGAAGTACTATCTGGGGAAGGGTGCCAGGGTACATAATATCCTTAGGGAATCCACCTTCCTGAGAGGCGGTAATTAGTTTGATGGAAGAAACCTGAGCGCTGTCTACATCAGGGCATAGGCCAGCTTAGCTACATAGCACATGTGTGTGGATTTTTCAGAGCCCTAAGCGACATAACTGGGTTGTCCTGACTCTTTAGTCCAGACAGAGCTTATGGAAGTTTAAGCTTGTTTAATTTGTAAATCCTCCTGGCTTCTTAATATGGGACTTGCCCCAGAGCCAATTTAATACAATGCAAGTCTTTTTAATTAATTAATTCACTGGGCTTTGGACCAGACCGGTGTAAGTTAAAGTAACAGCAGGCCTCCTTTAACCTACATATCCTAACACCTTACAGCTAGTTGCTTTTCTCATTACATTCTTCTGTGACCCTCTGTTCTAAAATGTTTCCCAACAGAAACTCCCTCTGATTCAGAAAGGCAAATTCAGAAGTGATGTGTAAGTTACATGGTGCATGCATCTGAACATGTAAATGTAAATGAGTTCAGAGGGAGTCCAAACTGATTTGGACTGGTTTGGGATTGAAATAAGATTTAAATTAGGCTAGACTTAGATTCACCTCTGACTCTGGCCCACAATCCCTGCCCCAAATATCTTACAATCTAAAAGACAAAGATCAGAGCTAGATTAACCAATTGTTGATGAGTTTCAAGGGTCAGAGTTTCAGAAAGGGAGATCCAAGGTCTGAGAGCAAAAATGCATGTGCAATTGTGCCTATAAACACCTGACCTCATTAACTCTCCAGAAATGACAGCGCAAGTGGTTTTAAATAATCATACTTACCTGACACTTCCTACAGCAAAGCCCATTGCTGCACTGTGAGCCTGCAGTCAGGGTGCATACATGACAGCAATCTCCACCTTCAATGGCACATTCCTGGAGAGCAGACACGTGTGAAATGTTACAGAAAAAAGCTCATGTCTCCAAAAGCTCCATTATTGTCACCAGGTGCTTTTAAACTCGAGTAGATTTCAACCAGGCTCTGTGAGAAGCTGAATATATACTATACGCATGCCAATAAAACCTCAGAATTTTCACATAGTGAAGTGTGAGATAACATAACTTAACCTGTATATAAAATAGGACATAACTGTAATAACTGTGTGGTATCTGTTGCGGTGACAACTGTTTAATGGTGACAACTGTAAATCTTGATATATTAATACCCATTTCCCAAATATTAAAAATAATCCTTCAGGGCCCCAGAGATTTTAGTCTGGACCGCTCTCATTAATATCAATGGGAATTGTGGGTGTCAATGATTCCTGGACCAATACCTGAGGTTGTAGTTACTGATCCAAAACACATTGCACTTACTGCAGTAGTACCACAGTCACACTCTTCTCCATCTTCAACAAAACCATTGCCACATTCTGGAGGATCTAGAAGCTGTAGTGCAAAAAATTAAGAAAAACAAGATGCTACAAATTTTTCCCAAGATCCCAAGTGAATTTCTCAATTGTTAACTATGTACAATTTGTTCAATGTGACTTTAAATATATTTAATTTAATTTACTCACAAGATAACATTTGCATTGTTTAGAGAGAGGGGATCTTAATAGGCTGATCTTGATCTTAATATCAACCTTCAAATGGAGTGCTGAAGGATAATGTACCCTGAAATATGTGGTTTTATTTCCCACATGTTTCTTGCAGAGGGGACTGTATTCCCCCTTCCTTGCTAAAAGAAAGCATGCACCTCTGAAAGATTTGTGAATTAATAAACATTACTTTAAAAAAACTGTTTTATTTTAAAAGATTTTGGATACAATATTTTTATCACATCTTGATCACTCTAGCTTCTACTTCTTTCTTTCACATTTTCATATTGTATAAAAGAAAAATCTAAATGCTGCTAATCTATTGTGCTAAGGGATACAAAAATTTCTACTAAAGTATTTTGTGAATTAGCATAATTAGTAAACAAAACCATGGTGAGTAAAATCGCTTTGTTACAAAAAAGAATCCACCTAATGAAGGGATTTAATAATCAAAATTTCTCATAATCTGTGGTGAAATATGAAAAAGCAGATATGGAAAAGGAAGGATACAGGTGTACAAAAACAAAAAATCATTACATCGTATCAAAAAACTAAACAGCTCTGACTCTCCTTTGCTTTAATAAGAATATTTGTTTAAAAAAAACACATAACATTTTGCAGAGGTATTCTCTTTTATTATCATCCAAATGAGAAAATAGCATTTAATGTGTGAGCCTCATGAGATGATTTTCACTCGGTGATGAGAGAAAAAGCAAATTCATTCTTGTTTACTCAATAAAAGCAGTTCTCTCATAATGAGAAATCTACAAACCTGCAACCATAAACCATCCAAGTGAAGAGCGATGCCTCCCTCTAGTGCTTACTGCAATTCAGCAGCTGTGCAATTGGTCACAACATTTACTCTCTTCCTCCAGCTACTGCAGAAATAAAAATCCCACTTGGAAATTGCTATTTCCTTTTACATTTTTGTGACAATCGAAGCTGCCAATTTAGCCTGTCTGCATGGTTCCCCACTAGTCCAAGAATTAGCATTGTAGGTGACAGCATCTGTTATAAACCAAAGATTCAAGATTCCCATCCTGACTATCTTGAAATTTGGCTGCTGCTGCTACACACAAAGCCGGTGTTCACCAACCAACCTATTGCAGAAGCCACCGTCCTAAATGTACTGACTCTTTTGCTAGTTGTTTCTTTAGCTCTAACTTATATTGATTTCCCTTTAAATTGTTAACAGCACTATTGTTTCCATGTTATATCATTTGTATTTTTCACCTGGATTTAAGTGTTTAGTGCCATAATGTTCCCACTGCTGCATCTGTTGATAGAGGGATAAATACAGACACAGAAAGGAAGGATGCCATTTCCAGGTAATGTACATCACCTCTCTCCCAGCTGTGCAAACATCCCTTTGTGGGGATCTCAAAGTTCCTGGTCTCAATTTGGGAGCGGTAGGCTAGGTACAGGATTGCTCCCTGTCCTGCTATCCTTTTTCTCCTCCTTCTAGTTTAAGGAGCCTTAGTTTAGCAAGGTATTTTAAGCATGTGTGCAACTTAAAGCAAGTAAGCCTTGACTACATACTTACTTAAAGCTATACAAATGCTTGCATATTAAATCAGAGCCAGTGTAGTTATGCCAATGCAGAACGTCTCACTGAGAATTTACCATCTTTCCTTCTTTGTAGTCTGATGTCTCCAGTGGCGGGAACCTGTGTGGCCAGCGGCAGGCCTGACAACTCAATTCCCACAGAACATTCAAGTTACACCCAGAGATTAATTTGATCCACTGAATACTATCCCTCTCCATCCTCTTGGCCCACCTTATGCTCTGTCTCTAAATTTTCAAGCAGTATTTTAAAAGGTATAGTTGCAAAACAACTTGTTGCCAAATAGCAGGAGGTCAGAGAAGTAGTCTCTTCGAGAATTGATGGCAAAGACATAATTATTTCAGAAGTGGTTGGTTTATTAATCTTCCCCTAGGGTCCAAATATATTATCTTTTCTTTTTCCAGTAATAAGAATATACCATAGACACTACTAGTCCCTGGAGTTTGCAGGGTAGCTTGCTGCCGTTGTACCAAGCCATCAGACTAGCTCTGCAAGCTAAATCTTAAAAGCAGATGTAAAGGTGAAACAAAAGCAGGTGTAAAGGTGAAACAAAATCCACACTGACAGATATTACACCAAAGTGATGAAGAACTACAGCTATATTGAATGTTTGCAAAGAAATCCAAAGCCTCATTAAATTAATTTGGTCTCATGTTCCATTTCAAATGCCAACCTTAGTTCATGCAAATCTTCAGAGCAGAACTGAGTGACTGGTGTTTTTTCCTCAAAACCTGGTGAAACTTTGTGCTTTTACAATGGGTTTTGTGGTCTGCACCTCTCAAGCAAATGTTAGGGGACGCAGGGGAACATGAAGCCACATGCATAACATTTTTGCCAAGCTGTAATTGGAAAATCTGGAAAGGGTATAGGGCTGAAAATCTAAAGTCACAAGTATTTTCTTGATATGACTCAGCTCTTCCAGTTTCAGCTGGATCATAAATATCACAGCAACAACTTTCCTTGGAGTATTTTCTTTATCATCATTTTGTGTTCTGCCCGAATACAGGGAGAGTAAAAAGATAATTTGTTTGAATGTATCCTGAACCTTTACAAAACTTTAGCAGTGTAATAGTTAAATTCAATAAAAACAGAATCTCTTGAGGATTACTTTATTGAACTGCAGAACACATCTCTATCCTCAGTAGATGTTTACTATATGAACAAGACACCATCTTCTCCTGACTGTCCTGCACAGTAACCCCGAAGTGGATTGAAGAATAGTCTTAGGGTACGTCTACACTAGCCCCCTAGATCGATCTAGGGAGGCTAATGAGGGCAACCAGAATTGCAAATCAAGCCCAGGATTTAAATATCCCGCGCTTGATTTGCATGTTCCCGGCGGTCACCATTTTAGAAATTGACTAGCCTAAAGTAACTGCCCGCGTCTACCGGCGGCTCGTGATCCTAGGCGAGCTAGGCAGCTGCCTAGGGCGCCACTGGCCCGGGCACCCGATGATGATATCACAGCCATTGACGGCCGTGCAGGCAGGGGCGCCGATTGCGCCACCCCGCCTAGGGTGCCAGCTGCTGCAGCCAGCCTCAGGCTGCACCTGCTCGAGTCTACATGCGGCAGTGAAACGGGCTTCCGATTTAAAGCCCTAAATCGAATTAGGTGGTATTCCTCCTGCAATGAGGCAGTTACTTCGGGCTAGTCAATTTCTAAAATGGCGACTGGCTGGGAACATGCAAATCAAGCGTGGGCTTGATTTAAATCCTGGGCTTGATTTGCAATTCCGGTCGCCCTCATTAGCCTCCCTAGATCGATCTAGAGGGCTAGTGTAGACGTACCCTTAGTTAGATTGATTCCAGGATGGTCTTAACAAAGTGAGTGATCAGTATTGAATCAAACCAATAATGCTGATGTAGTGTTCCCTTATCTTGCATGACCACTCAACAACTGCCAGCTTCTTCAACAGGACAAAAAGAACAAAACAACCACCAAAATCCCCACACCATTAGTTATAAAAATACAGGATCTAATGTTATTATTCAGTGCTATACTAAAGATTTATTCTGCTGTATGTGAGGAAGAACTTTGCTCTTTAAAAAAAATGCTGGAAGAATCTGTACAAGATATTGAAAGCATAAAGATTACATGATGTGTGTATCTTGTGCTGACCCCTTTGCACAAGATGAATTTCACCCTCTGAGCCTTGGCCAGAAAGGGTAGCTTCCTTCTTCCAAGAGTTCTAGCAGCAAAAAAATGTATTTATAAGATTGTGGACAGGTGAGAAGTATGATATACCTTGACCAATCTTCCCTTTCTTAATATTAAGCTGTTAATTACCTTGGATGGCTTATTGAAGAGGCAAGCACCACCTCCGTTGTTTAAAAATTCATGATACTCCTCAATATCACACTTGGAAAACTTGCTTGGAAGATAATAACTACAAAGAAATAGAGCAGTTGGTTATTTATTTCTCAACTCACTTTTAACCATTACACAATATTCTATCTGCTTCCAAAATATGGGAGGAACATATTCTGGGAAAGAAATCGCTAGGGTACTTAGTTGAGATCCATGCGATCTGTTTGCAAACTAATTTGTAAATCAATGATTCCATTTTAACTTGTAAGCCTTTTTGGCAATATTAAGCTGTCTTTTAACAGTGAGAAGAGAAACATATTCAAGAGATGAGACCAAATGCTGCAAACACTTGCTACAAAGCATAGAGCTTATTAATATGCAGGTTCCATTTGAAGTTTTTGTGGGATCAGATTTTTATTTGAAGGCCTATATACTTTAAGCCATCAATCAACAGGGTCGTCAGAAAATTATTCATAGATGGAAATAGAGTTTTTTTGGCCTATATGATGTGATACATTATACTACCATCTTATTACGTACTTTTAACAAAAATTTAAAATGACATGTAGTCCTGTGGCATCTTAGATACTAACAAAAATATATATAGTATCATGAGCTTTCATGGGCAAAACCTATTCCTTCAGATGAGCATGAGTGGACACTAGTTTATGGGAAAGGGATAGCTCAGTGGTTTGAGCATTGGCCTGCTAAACCCAGGGTTATGAGTTCACTCCTTGAAGGGGCCATTTAGGGATCTGGGGCAAATCTGTTAAGGATGGCACTTGGTCCTGCCATAATCACAGAGGACTGGACTCAATGACCTCCCAAGGTCCCTTCCAGCTCTATGAGATAGGTATATCCCCATAGAGAGAGAGAGCAGATAAAATTCACCCCAGTACAGAGAGGATCTATGTGAAGTCTTATGCACCAATCAAGATACATAGCTACACATATTCCAAGTGCAAAAGGGGAGCATACTGTGATCATCTTGTCTTACCTCCTGCATAACACAGGCTGTGGGTAAGCATGGTTAAGTTGTGCAGAAGATCTTACACAGAGGTATGAATTCTCCCTAAGGTGACTTAAGAGATCGCTTTATTTAGGCCCAATTTCACAAAAGTGCTGTGCAATTCATTGTGACATTGGCACATGCTTTCCTGATTCGGGGCAAATATTTACACAGCAGTGGATAAAAACACTAACAAAAGTACTATTAAAAACAAGCCTGCATTGACTTTAGGTTTCCAGCCCACTATCCTTTCCAGATGTCCTTGCAGTTTATGTATTCTTTGGCAAGGTGGTCTGGTGCCAAGATAAGGAAACATGTTCCATCTATCGCCTCGCCCCAGTTAGGGAACCCTATCACAGCAAAACTATCCACTATGTCCTGCATATTGTCCAGATTCACTACTTTTCTAAGCAGAACTTTGATTGCCCTGGCTATCTCAATCATAGCAGCCTCCATAAAAGATTTACTCCATATTGGTTCCCTATGGATTGGTAGTAGTCTGGCTTTTCAAGTGTCCATGGGGCAATCAGTACTTGTTTCTCAACTGTCAGAGCTGGTCTCACTCTGGTATCACTGTGCTTCAGGGATGGGGAAAGCTTGGTGCACAGTTCCAAAAATGTGCCCTTACACACGCAAAAGTAATGCACCCTTACTCATCATCCAGGAGCTACATAACTATAAACTCCCACCACTCAGGTCTAGTTTCTTTGGCTCAGAAGCAGCGTTCAGCTGTGTCAAAATGTATGAATTGCTCCATTCCATGGCTTCCAGCAAGCTTATGTTTGTGTGTGTGGCATCACATTGCTCCATGCAGTGATTAGCTTAGGCTCTGTAAATACCACAGGATAATGTGATATGTTTGCAATATACACAACAGCATGCAGCTGTGTGGGATCCATTCTTGCCATTCTTTGTTGTGAGCACAGGCCACCCAAGCTTAGGAAAAAAAGGCACAAAAAGGCTTGTTTGCTGTTGACTTCAGGAAGGGGTGGGGAAGCAAGTGCCTCTTGGGAGGCTGATGACAGTCACCCATAACCACCTGCAGCAATGTTTTTTATCCCATAAGGCATTAGAACCCTAGCCCATAATTAAAATCAGCTGCAGGTGATTACCCACAATGCATCACTCCTTATGAAGCTGCAAGGCTGGCAGTGAGGATGTGCTCTGTTTACCACTGCCACCTACTGGGGAGAGGCAGCATTGCATTTGTTAAATTGGATGCTCAAAGTCAAATAAAATAAAATAAAACTGATTTTGTAGTGTAGATCCATCCTAATTTTCTGTAAATCAGAAATGTGTCTATTTTTCTCTAGCAGTACTATCAACATGTGCAGCTAGAGTTGCTGCCCCTAAATCATGTACAACTTTTTCAGATGCTCAGGCTCAACCATGAAAGATATAATATTTGCTGATTCATTTGCTTTATGTCATTACATGGAAATTCCTATAAAAATGTCTTACCCAGTGTCTCCCATTATACATCCAGACCACGTGTCCTCACATTTACACTCACCTAAGAACAAAAAAAGTAAAATTCACTGAGTCTGACAATGTTAAAATCTCTGCAGAACATACACTATGTTTATCATCTTAAAAAGAACAGTGAAAACACTACATCCCTAATTTCTTCAAAATAACATACATGGCAAGAAACATTTACTTTTTTCACTATGCACAGGACTCAAAGCTACATGTAGTAAATCAATTAAGGAATTCATCTGCAAACAAACACCTGGAAGATGATAGGTGACAGCCAGCATGGATTTGTAAAGAACAAATCATGTCAAACCAATCTGATAGCTTTCTTTGATAGGATAACAAGTTTTGTAGATAAGGGAGAAGCAGTGGACATGGTATTCCTAGACTTTATTAAGGCATTTGATACGGTCTCTCATGATCTTCTTATCAATAAATTAGGCAAATACAATTTAGATAGGGCTACTATAACTGGCTGGATAACCGTTCTCAGTGAGTAGTTATTAATGGTTCACAATCCTGCTGGAAGGGCATAACAAGTGGGGTTCCACAGGGGACTGTTTTGGGACCGGCTCTGTTCAATATTTTCATCAATGATTTGGATATTGGCATAGAGAGTATGCTTATTAAATCTGCAGATGATACCAAGCTGAGAGAGGGTTACAATTCAAAATGATAGAGGATAGAGTTATAATTCAAAATGATCTAGACAAATTGGAGGTATGGTCTGAGGTAAATAGGATGAAGTTTAATAAGGACAAATGCAAAGTACTCCACTTAGGAAGGAACAAACAGAATGGGAAGCGACTATCTAGGAAGGAGTACTACAGAAAGGGATCTAGAGTCATAGTGGACCACAAGCTAAATATGCGTCAACAGGGTGACACTTGAAAAAAAAGCAAACATGATTCTGGGATGCATTAACAGGAGTGCTGTGAGCAAGACACAAGAAGTCATTCTTCTGCTCTTCTCTGTGCTGATAAGGCCTCAATTGAAGTATTGTGTCCAGTTTTGGGCACCATATTTCAAGAAAGATGTGGAGAAATTGGAGAAGGTCCAGAGAAGAGCAACAAGAATGATTAAAGATCTAGAGAACATGACCTATGAAGGAAGACTTGAAAGTATTGGGCTCGATTAGTTTGGAAAGGAGAACACTAAGAGGGGACATGATAGTGGTTTTCAGGTATCTAAAAGGGTGTCATAAGGAGGAGGGAGAAAAATTGTTCTCCTTGGCTTCTGAGGATAAGACAAGAAGCAATGGACTTAAACCGCAGCAAGGGAGGTTTAGGCTGGACATTAGGAAAAACTTCGTAACTGTCAGGGTGGTTAAAAACTGGAATAAGTTGCCTAGGGAGATTGTGGAATCCCTATCTTTGGCAATATTTAAGAGCAGGTTAGACAGACATCTATCAGGTATGGTCTAAATGGTAATGGGCCCTGCCATGAGGGCAGGGGACTGGACTCAATGACCTCTCAAAGTCCCTTCCAATTCTAGTGTTCTGTGATTCTACACATTGGATAAACTTTCTTCCATAAAAACACGTTACTCTGTAATCTTGACAATCGTAGAAAAAAAATTATTGCTTTCCATTTCATGTTTTCCAGTGAAATCAAGAGGAAAGTCCTCCACTATATAAAGAGCTTCACTTGAAAGAAGGAAAAGCAAAGAAAAAATATATATATACACACAAACTTACCAGTTAGCAGTTTTCTTTTATCTGAGAAAATGCCAAGATTGTGGCCTAATGACTGTGCCAATGTCACTGAAAGTAAGTCTGCCTTTCCAAACTGAAATAAACAAATCAGGATGCAAACAATCATCATTTTGACACAAGAATCTTAAAATATAAACACACCTTTTATACCTTTTAAAATAAGATTTTTAAGGCAAAAGCAGATCAATGGATTTATGGCTCTTACTTCAGTGAAGACCTATTAAATGCAGCTGGATAATGGACCAGCATTCAGTGAGACTAAACTCTCACTTAAGAATAGGCTAGGTAAGATTTTGTGTGAAGAGAAAATTTCAGATTCTAGTTTGGAAATTTGGCTGAACCGAAACTCAAAATTTTTCCATTTGCCTTTTAACATTATCCTTTGTTTGAACATTCTTTCATGGGTCTTCATTAATATTCTGTATCGATCATGCAACAGGAAGACATTTTGACAAAAAGGTGTGTGAGACACAAACACTATGTCTACACATCAATTTTCGCTGGTATGAATATTCACACTTACTTCATTCACACCTCCACCTTTCAGTAGTGAACAAATTCCACCAATGTAGGCTGCTCCGCTTCGACTGCTTTGAAATTGACTTCCCCTTTAAAAAACAAAACAAAATGAAAAAGTTTACTTATTATGTTAAGCAATCCTTCTATTTACATCTCTTATTTCCAAATGCCAGATGCAGTTACTGTGTTGCTCACTGCTCACAAACAGAATACAGGGCTGTGAAAACCAAAGAATCTTTCACAATTCTTTCAAGGAAATCTTGCCCTAAACAGGGAAGGAGAAATAACATCTGTTTTCATGCACTGGCAAATTCTTTGAGGATGAAACTCTCCTATAGTTTCATAAAGTTGAAGGCCAGAAGGAGTCATAACATTATCTACTTTGACGAAGTGGGTCTTTGCCCACGAAAGCTTATGCTCCAATAAATCTGTCAGTCTATAAGGTACCATCGGACTCCTCATCACTTTTGCAGATCTAGACTAACACGGCTACCCCTCTGATACTTATTATCTACTCTGACCTACTATATTAAATTTCAACCAAATACCCCTATATTGAGCCTAATCACTTTAGACCAAAGCATTTCATTCCTCAGAAGATCAAGCTGCCATGAGCCACAGGCAGAGATCAAGGTGCCACCCATGTCCAAAGTCCCTGCAATGGCATTCGCATTTGAAATTGATTAGATGAGACATGTCCAAATGATCCTAGCAGGTGAATCAAGCCCCACGCTATAGAGAAAGGCAACTGTCCACAAGGTCTCTACTACTCCCTGGAGAAAAATTCCTTTATGACTCCTGATCTGGGACTCAAGATAACCCTGAGCATGTAAGCAAGACACATCAGCCAGGCATCATTAGCAAAGGGAATTCTTTGCACCCTCTCAGAGCACTGATCCACCCTGTCTGATGTCCTGTATTCAGTTGTGGCTGACCACACATTCTGCAGGGTAAGATGGAAAAAAACCAAAACCAACCCACAATATATTGGGTCAATTAGGCCTCAGGAGAAAAAAAATCTATCCCGGCTCCTGCAGGTGACTGGCCGAAGCCTTGAGGCATGGTATTTCCCCAAATGAGAGCATGCTGAGGGCTATACAGGCAAAGGCATGTTTCCCTGAACTATGACAGAAGGGAAGGAACAGGAGATTCAAAGATTCACAGGTTCCAAGGCCAGGTGGGGTCAGCACACAACCATCAAGCTCATTCCCTTAATTCCACTATTTGTATCCCTGGTAAAAAGGTGTAATTGTAGGATATGCTATTTCTAGATGATCTAAGAATGTAATGTTCTCACACTATTTTATTATTATTTGTAATTATAGTAACGGCTAGACTCAAGAGGCTCCAATCAAGATTGTGGCTGCACCAAATAAAGTGTCCTACAGCAACAAGAGATCATGCCCCAAAGAGCTTACAATCTGAACAGAGAAGGCAAAGGCTGGAAAAAAATATAGTATTTTATCCAATTACATAGATGGTGAACAGAGGCACAGGAGTAATAAAATCTGGGCCCACTAATATTTATGCACCATGCTTAACTTTACTCATGTAAAGTCAATAGAACTAATTAGCACATGCCTAACTGTCTATGGGATTGGGCCCTAAGTGACCTGATCAAGGTCACACAAAAAGCTTATGGCGAAGCAGGGAACTGAACCCCAATCCAGTTGCTCACCAAGAGATTGCTCTTTTATCTTAGATTTTATTACATGAATCACACTACCAAAACAATTCAGGGAATTAGAGAAGAGCAGAAAAGCTCCTCCCAGGAATGATATTCAACTTTCAATCCTTGTGGTGCACTTGTCTCTGGACAAGTTTGAGGGAACAGAGAACCTCAGCAGGGCACCCAGGATGTATTGCATCATTGGCTTTTAAGAAGTTCTCCACACTAGTTTCAATGTTCTGCTATAAATGAATAATGTGAGTGGCCCACTGGTAGTGTTCTACTGCAATATAGTGCCATGCAGTATCCATCAGAGCAGCTGTGTTGGTGTGGTAGGTAGTTACACAATACAACAGGAGTTCACAGCACATGCAGTTTGTGCTTAGTATATTGAAACTAGCATGAAAGTTATCTCTAATGATATGATTAGTTACACTGTTCTGCCCTCCCACCTCCCTGTTCCGACACATTAGTGTCAGGTTTACTGTATGCTGCATAACACAATAGAGAGGAGACATGCCAGCCACTAATAATAAAGTGCTCCCCATGGAATGAAAAAATAGTAATAAAATGGCATACAAAGTTACGTACGAAAAAAGGTGAACTGCATCACTTTTCTCTCTGATAAAATCTCTCCTATATTTCATAAACTCACGTAGGGTCACCAATGGGTTTTCAGATATGGTGAACTTGTTATCAGTAGCCCAGGTTTCCATGGCAACCAATACTATCCTGGTGTTAAGTTGTTCTTTATAAATCTAGTAGATTAACAAAATGAACAAATATATTATATCAAATGAAATAGAGGTGCTTCTTTTCCTTTTTTTTGGTAACAGCTTACATTTTGAGGTAATACAATATTTAGTCTGTAATAATGAACATTTTGTTCTGTGAAGCTCACTAACTTTCTTTTTTTAAACAGGAAATAGTACTAGAGATGAAATCCAAAATTTTAGGCCCCATCCTAGTAAGCATTTCTGCATGACCAAAGAGTCTACCAGCAAAGAGCTTCTGGCAGAAGCTGAGCCTGGTTAAGATCTCTCAGTCTCTAAAATCTTTGTTAGAATGAATTGAGAGATTTCATACAAATCTCTAAAGGACCACACAAGAATCCTGGATAGCTCAAAGATTTATATTTGGAAATATCATGGTTTATCTTTATTTTATAGTATTCAGCATTCCCTACTTACACAAAAGGGCTCTATATGCCTTAACAGATATATGTAACAGGAATTATAACTATTTCCATTATTACAGAATTCTTCAGCAGTGCTGTGAGCAGTGCCTGAGTGGCTTATCAGAAATCATGATGTCACAGATCAAAGGATTTCAATAGTGGGAATACTATTTTTCATTTGCAAATACTGGAAATGTTTCTGGGTAGACTAGCCATCTACTATCAATTTTTAGTCTCAAACAACTACCTTTATTTCCCTGCTCCATATAAAATAGTATGAACTCAAATTTCTCAAAGGCTGAACAAAGCATATAATTTCTCTATAAATTTTAGTGCAAAATTCACATAAATTAAAATCATGTCTAGGTGTGAAAAAACATTTCCTACAATTATCAGCACCATGATCATGTGAATAACAGCATTAGAAAAGCATTTAGTTGAGTGATACTTACTAAATCTGCCATGTTCACCACTGATTTAGCATAGCTGTTTGTGTGGCCAACTGATAATCTATGTTTCTTACACTGAAAAACAAGCACAGACCAGTTACAAATATATTTCTGCAAATAATTTTGACTGAAAAACATAAAGCAAAAGATGGATCTATTAACAGAAGCTGTATTCAAGCTACTTATCTTTTGTAGTGACTAGAATGTTAAAAAAATCTGTCCAGCAAATTCTTTAGATATGCATATTACCTACTCGCCTTACAATGGTGTGGTGACGATTCGTTAATGAATGTTTAGAAAGTTCTTTAAGATCCTTGGTGATACGTGCTACAGAAATGCAAAGTGTTGTTATTAATTGCTATTATTATTAAACAGTTAACATTTAGATACCAATACAGGTCTTGACAACATAACTGCAGTAGAATTACCTGAAATTGCTTCACAGAAGTTATTCCATTAACACACATAACCACAGCTTCACTTATCTAAATATATTTTCTTGCAGTTATTCTATGCCTTTATTCATACATTTTTATGCATGTAAAGGGCTCTGGAGCCCCAAAAGTTTGAGAACCGCTGATCTATAGCAATAGTCTCATACACTTTGTAAAGATACACAACTGGGTCCCTTACTGAAAAGTACTGTAGTATTACTCTACAAAGTTAAAACAAAAGACAGGACTATGTAGCACTTTAAAGACTAACAAGATGGTTTATTAGGTGATGAGCTTTCATGGATCAGACCCACTTTCTCAGATCAAATTGTGGAAGAAAATTGGCATGACCATATATACCAAAGGGCCAAATGATATGCCTTTGGTATATATAGTCATGCCAATTTTCTTCCACAATTTGATCTGAGGAAGTGGGTCTGATCCATGAAAGCTCATCACCTAATAAACCATCTTGTTACTCTTTAAAGTGCTGCATAGTCCTGTCTTTTGTTTCAGCTAGACCAGACTAACAGGGCTACATCTCTATTACTATTCTACAAAGTTAGTATTTCCTACTCAGCACAGCAATCTTCCCAAGTTTTTCCACCTTCTATAAACAAGCCCTTCTATAAACAAGCACTTTATATGTTATGGCACTTAGCTAACACAATGACAAGGATCCTAGAAAAACCTAACGCATATAGCCAAATTTTTCAAAAGAATCTAATGATCTTGGGCTCAATTCTGGATGGCTTAAAAGGACCTCATTTTCAAAAGTCAGGCCCATATATACTGTGTTAATTTGGACATTCAAAATTAGTAGTTACATTTGAAAATAGTGCTGCCAGACATAATATCAAGAACTAGTAGACTGAGGCTTTAAAAACATTGTCCATGTAGCCCCCATTCAACAACTCTGAAATATCAGAATGTGTCTGGTAGAAGCAATCACTGAAAGGCTCCCATATGTTCCTATTGACTGCCAAAGCTCTAGCCCTGCCACTTGTCTGGCCCCAGAATACCAAGGAATGGTCTTGATTGAATGGTACTCAGTTTTTATTTTCTTCTTGTCCACAGCAGTAATTAGATCAGCCAAAATTGTATCTCCCTGTTATGTCTTGGAAAAATACATGCAGCTGGCTTCAAAGAGTTCCTGAAGATTTCAGGAAGCTACAAGCCTTCAAGGCCTATTAGAAATTATCCACATTCCTACCCCTCCATCATGCAAAACTGGGAGCCTCCAGACTGCTCATATTTTCAGAATCCTGCTGTGCTATTCTTTGAAGTAGCAGCAGCTGGCATAAGAGGGTGTGGGGAGCAATTGCAATTGGAAGGTTCTAACATTCATATGTCTGCCAGAAACAAGCCAAGACTGTTTCTATGAACAGGAGGCAGAAAAGGAGACTAGAGTCTGAACAAGAGTATTCAGAGCTGGGCTGGTGGAAAAGGAGACCAGAATATTACTGTAAAAATCTGAGTCAGAGAGATGAAAAAGAAGGGCACTCTTAGGAAGGGATGAGAGACAAAGGTGAACATTGGGAAGCTGAAGATCACTATTAATGAAGGCAATGACAGGAAAGAGGAGGTAGATAGGCACAAAGAGAATACAGAAAATAAGGTAAAACCCAGTGGGATAAGACAGTCTCTTCCTATACGGGTAGTGTTGCCTAGGAGTCAGCCTTCAACATCACATGATGTGGTCCTGTAAGATTTTGGAAAGTCTGATATATATACACACCAGGACTTAGGTAAAGAGGAAGTAGCCCCAGATATAAGTAGCATTTGGAAGGAAATCCCATCATGTTTTTTTTTTAAGGGCATGAGTCCAGGAGCCTTGAAGAGTGGACAAGACAAGGCTCTTGTCTCCCCCAGCCAGTCTGGATGAGTTTTAGGAAGGGGACCAGCATATATGCTACTGTCCCCGTTGGAGCCTTAGGACTAACTGGGGAAAGGAGGAGCTAGCTAAGGCCCTGTAACTGGCTTCAACCCAACTCCAAGGAGGAGACCTGGGAAGACTCCTATTTTAAGGAGAAAGAGAATCTAAAAACTCCACGACTTCTTCTCTAGTTGATGTCTGTATTGACTGTCTTGTTCTAATGGCTGGCAGTTTTTCAACTTTGTCATTGACATTTTCCATTTGTTTTTAATTCATTACTGTTTATAATATCTTCTCAGAGAAGCAATGAGGGTGACTGTCAAAAGTTCCGGTCTCAGCTCTGCCATCGATTTACAGTGTGACCTTGGGCAAATCACATGCAGCTTCATTATCAAGGGGTGCTGAGCCTCCACAAGCCCAAGAGAAATAAGAGGCTCTGATGGAGCGTAGTCCCCTCTGAAAATCAGGCTCTTCCTATAATCCCATTTACCTATCTTTGAAACTAAAATAATGATGCTTGCTCACCTTTGCAATGGCCTAGGTCTAGGTAGGAGATCTACACATGAAATGTTTTAGATACATAATAATTACTGATAATTTTTATTAAAGGATTGGAAATAAAATGTATTTTCAGTCCATTTTTGTCCTTTTCAGCAAACACTGATATCGCCCCACAAAAATTTCTCATGGAGATATTTGGTTCATTTCCTTCTTTGTGATCTAGTTATGGGAGCACATCTCTATAAGTGACTGCCGCTAGCAGTTCATCTCAGGTCACTTATTCTTTGTTTTTAGATAAACATCTAACAGGGAAAATTTTATTGGGGTTTGTTTTGGTTTTTAAATTAAATCCATCTCTCCATCACTAAGAAATCACTGTAAATTTGTGTGCATTATCAGGCAATAGAAAATTTACGGTAAGTCAACATTACAGCAAGTCAAAAACAAAAAAACAGATGTAAAGCATGTTGTACATGGCTGTTTATTTCCAGCTACCATAAAATACCCTTGGTGTGTTACATCCACCACAGATTATAGAGTCAGAGCAAGGAAACCATCTGTGAATAAAGTTCTATCTATTTATAATTCTCCAGTATTTTGAAGGTTCTCTCCCAGTTCCATGGTCACTGTTTCTACTCTATAGGTATAAATGAGAATATTAAGCAAGGACTACTGCAGAGTCAGTGAGCTCTGGGAACAGCTTGCTTACCCCGGACAGATTTCAACACTGATTTATGATGGCTGAGATATCACTAAGGTGTGGTCTATGCTTCAAAGTCAGATCAACATAACAGCATCATTCAAGCATGCGAAAAAGCCATAGCTATGCTGACCTAAAACCAAGTGTAGCTGTGGCCTAGTCGACAGACAAATGCTTCCGGTGGCGTATGTGCGGCTGCTCGGCAAGATGGACTTCCTATAGTGACACAATGTTCCTATAGTGACACAATATTCCTTTCCATTATTATAGGGAGCACCAATACTACAGCCTACTGCAGCATAGATAAAGCACACAACCTGTGCTGCTGCTGCATAGACATGGCTTAACATAGTATGTACTCAGCTGGCCAGGAATTCAGCAATTATAAGGCACTGCTCTTTGAGGATGGCAAAAACAGGAAAAAGATAAGTTAAAGAGACATATTTGCAATAATCTCCTCTAATTCTAATTGTTTAGATATGCAGCAACATAATTTGTGACCCTTAAAAAGATGCTATGTGCTCAGGGTTAACATAAAATTCATTCTGGGTGCAGGGTGGGGGGGCAAGGCTGGGGCAGGGCCTTGGGGAGAAGGATGCAGGCTCTGGGAAGGAGTTTGTATGGGGGAAGGAGCTCAGGGATGGGGCTGGAGCAGGTGGAAGCTGTGGTGTAGGGTGGAGGGGTTTGGAGTATGTGAAAGGGCTCAGAGCTGGGGCAGGGAGTTGGAGTGTAGGAGGGGTTGGGGATTGTGTGCTCTAGCCAGACAGTGCTTAACTCAGACAGCTCCCAGAGTTGATCACATGTCCAGCTCTTAGGCTCACAGTGGCTCTGTGCACTGCCCCTGACTGCAGGCAAAGATCCTGCAGCTCCCATTGGCCATAGTTCCTGGCCTATGGGAGCCTGGAGCCAGCAGTCAGGATGAGGGTAGTGCAAAGAGATCCTCTAACAACCCCAGTGCCTGGCCAGACATGCCAGTAGCTTCTTGGACCTGCTATATAACATATTCCATAGAATTTCATCTAGTTACTCCTCTATTGACCTGGATCATTTGCATTTGGCTAATCAATAACTTCCAGAAATTGATTCAGTCTTGATTTGAAGACTTTAAAGCATACTCTATACTATGCCTCCTCCCCGTCAATCTAAGCTATGCAATTTCAGCTATACAAATAACATAGCTGAAGTCAATGTAGTGTCTTTCATGTGGTAAGGTTGGTGGGAGCTGATCTCCCATCAACTTCAGCTACTCTTCTCATCCTGGTGGAGTACCAGAGTCAATGGGAGAGTGTTCAGAGCTTGAATTATCACATCTAAGAAGACACAATAAATGGATCACTGATGGATCAATCTCTGGAGCATCAATCCACCATGTAGTAGAAGACAAGCCCTAAGAGACAGAGAATCCACAACTCCCCTAATATTTTTTTCCCAATGGCTAATGATTATCATTGTTAAATTTTTTTTGCCTTAGGCTACCTCTACACTGGCAGCTTCTTGCGCAAGAAAGCCCTATGGTTAAAATGGCCATCAGAGTGTTCTTGCACAAGAGAGTATCTACACTGGCATGTGCTTTTGCACAAGAGCATCCATGCCAGTGTAGATGCTCTCTTGTGCAAGAACACTCTGATGGCCATTTTAACCATAGGGCTTTCTTGCGCAAGAAAGCCCTATGGTTAAAATGGCCATCAGAGTGTTCTTGCACAAGAGAGTATCTACACTGGCATGTGCTTTTGCACAAGAGCATCCATGCCAGTGTAGATGCTCTCTTGTGCAAGAACACTCTGATGGCCATTTTAACCATAGGGCTTTCTTGCGCAAGAAAGCCCTATGGTTAAAATGGCCATCAGAGTGTTCTTGCACAAGAGAGTATCTACACTGGCATGTGCTTTTGCACAAGAGCATCCATGCCAGTGTAGATGCTCTCTTGTGCAAGAACACTCTGATGGCCATTTTAACCATAGGGCTTTCTTGCGCAAGAAAGCCCTATGGTTAAAATGGCCATCAGAGTGTTCTTGCACAAGAGAGTATCTACACTGGCATGTGCTTTTGCACAAGAGCATCCATGCCAGTGTAGATGCTCTCTTGTGCAAGAACACTCTGATGGCCATTTTAACCATAGGGCTTTCTTGCGCAAGAAAGCCCTATGGTTAAAATGGCCATCAGAGTGTTCTTGCACAAGAGAGTATCTACACTGGCATGTGCTTTTGCACAAGAGCATCCATGCCAGTGTAGATGCTCTCTTGTGCAAGAACACTCTGATGGCCATTTTAACCATAGGGCTTTCTTGCGCAAGAAAGCCCTATGGTTAAAATGGCCATCAGAGTGTTCTTGCACAAGAGAGTATCTACACTGGCATGTGCTTTTGCACAAGAGCATCCATGCCAGTGTAGATGCTCTCTTGTGCAAGAACACTCTGATGGCCATTTTAACCATAGGGCTTTCTTGCGCAAGAAAGCCCTATGGTTAAAATGGCCATCAGAGTGTTCTTGCACAAGAGAGTATCTACACTGGCATGTGCTTTTGCACAAGAGCATCCATGCCAGTGTAGATGCTCTCTTGTGCAAGAACACTCTGATGGCCATTTTAACCATAGGGCTTTCTTGCGCAAGAAAGCCCTATGGTTAAAATGGCCATCAGAGTGTTCTTGCACAAGAGAGTATCTACACTGGCATGTGCTTTTGCACAAGAGCATCCATGCCAGTGTAGATGCTCTCTTGTGCAAGAACACTCTGATGGCCATTTTAACCATAGGGCTTTCTTGCGCAAGAAAGCCCTATGGTTAAAATGGCCATCAGAGTGTTCTTGCACAAGAGAGTATCTACACTGGCATGTGCTTTTGCACAAGAGCATCCATGCCAGTGTAGATGCTCTCTTGTGCAAGAACACTCTGATGGCCATTTTAACCATAGGGCTTTCTTGCGCAAGAAAGCCCTATGGTTAAAATGGCCATCAGAGTGTTCTTGCACAAGAGAGTATCTACACTGGCATGGATGCTCTTGTGCAAAAGCACATGCCAGCGTAGACACTCTCTTGTGGAAGAGTTTTTGCACAAGACCTCCTCCACAAAAGAGTTCTTGCGCAAGAAGCCCTGATTTTATACAGTAGAATGTCAGTTTACTTGTGCAAGAACATACAGCCAGTGTAGACAGGCAGCAAGTTTTTGCGCAAGAGCGGCCACTTTGGCGCAAGATCGCGCCAGTGTAGACACAGCATTATTTTCTATTTGAACTTGTCTGGCTTTAACATCCAGCTTTTGATTCTTTTTATGTCTCTCTCTGTTAAGATACGAAAGGGCTCTTTAACCTAACAAAGAAAGTGACATGCGTTCTCTTAAAAAAATAAAAAAAAAACACTAGCAAACTGCAGGCTTACAGTACAGGTTGTTTAGTTATTATAGTAAACATAATGTTCAAGAGAGTAAGGAACAAAAATCAGCATGAAGTCAGATATACAGCTGTTCATTCTGTGTCAAAATCTTGTTTTGTACATATTTTAGGTCTAATTATGTTCTCAGTTATGCTGCTGAAAATTAGAAGTAACTTTGCTGGAGTCACACAGTGATAGAAGTGAGATCAGAATCAACCACCCTATCTTTAGGACATAAACTACATTATTGTTTAAGCCTTGAAAGCACATAAGGCAATCATACATTATCAATGTTTTTCAAATAGTGAAATACACAAGTCTTACCATTAGATGATCATTCACTATCATTAACTCAATATATTTTGTTTCCTTCTCAACTTTACGTGAAATCTGATGAACCTGCAGAAAGATTAATGTACAATAGCTGTTTAAATGGCAACTGGAAATAAATCCTAATTTCTCACATCAGCAAGGATACATCATTTCCCTGTGTTCTTGTCTATTATAAAACCTGCCATTGTGCCACCATTTTTTTTTATTTATAAAACTGACAGCAGTACTACTAAAAATAATTTGTAGGTATGTCAGATCAGCCTGTGTTTCCAAGCTATAAACAGGGACACATCTTTTAGCTACACATATAATCAGGAGATTTTTTGGAGGGTCAATAGGAAAATTATATTTTAAAATGTAGTGTGTTCTCTGCTCCCCATTCCTTCCAAAATACCTGTAAGTCCTACAAAATAAACTTAGACTTTTCTAAAAGAACTCTAGATTTTTTGAGAGTCTAAACAGTGTCTACATCTTTAAAAACTTGCTTAGTACCAGTTGCAAACTCACAGAATTGCTACAAACTCTCAGAATGGCAAATACAAAAAAGCCTTTTTATAAGGTCTTTACAACTTATTCAAATTCTAAATCAACTAGCACTAATACACAGTCAATTAAGTGTCACATTTCCTTCTGGTTTACAAATATTGACAGCCATGTTTCTAAGTGATGCCATTATTTTCCCTGGTCTTGCCATCTTATGTTATTCTTGTTGCTGTAAAACTAGAGCAACTGTTCCTTGTTTACGTAAAGGCAGATAATCCCTCTAGTGCTATTTGATATAAAGTGAATTTCACAAAAGTTATTTACGTGACCCATTTTTTTCATTTGCCTGTTTTCTTTTATGTCAGTGAATATGTGCTTATTATCTCTTTGAGACATTTACTCGTTTTTCATTCAATCCTTGCTTCTTTTCTGGGATGTGATTATGTAAGTATCATGCTCTTGGAGATAAACATGATAGCAGCAGAGTATCACTGCAAGTATATATTTCTCAGTGAATTTAGTGCTCATAAAAGGTCATTTAATACCACCTTCTTCTCACTGGTCTCCTCACTTCTCATCTACCTCCAAATAGCTGCTGCCACTCTCACCTTCTCACTATAAGATAGAATGTACCCATGTCCACACCATACACATTTGTTGCAATAACCTTTGTATATTGCATATATGGTAACCTTCATAAACCAATAATTTAGTAGTCAATATTATCATGATGACGTAGATATGACAACATTGTACACAAAGTTATAAAATTCCACTGTATGGTATTGTTAACACATGTTCCAAACTGAAGTTGGCAAACAGGTCTGTCTCAAAGGAATGTGCTCTGCTTAATTTGCATTTAATCAGTAAACAGAGTCACCAAGCAGGAAGGGGAGACAAAGTCAGCTCAATCAGGTGAGAAAAAGCAATAGGAAATCTCCTTCCCCATAGACCTTTGGCTTCCTGGTTCTCACCTGGAAATGTTTTTAAAAGACATGCTGAAACGATAAAAAGGAGGGGCAAACACATGTCTCTCTCCCTTCCCATTGCTTTCTGAACACCTGAAGCAACAAAGGAAGCCTTCATTGGATTTTGGGAGAAGGGGTCCCTGACCTGAGGGTTTAGTCAGTAGATCTGCTGAAAGCATATGTTGAGAAATATTGCTTGAGTCTGACATAGTTTGTTAAGTTAGGCACTAGTAGCATTTTACCTCCATTTTCTTATAACCATTTCTGATTTTTATGCCTTATTACTTGTACTTACTTAAAATCTCTCTCTTTGTAGTGAATAAACTTGTTTTGTTGTTTTATCTAATCCAGTGTGTTTACATTGAAATGTCTGGCTGCAAGTTGTGTGATGATTATTTCTAATAAAGAAATAATGGAGTTCATATAAATTTGTATTGTCCATGAGAGGACAGTACAGGACATACATTTCTGCTGGAAAATCTAAGACTACGAGCAAGCTGGGGACACCCTGAAATATAAGCAAGGCCAGTAAGAGCCAAAGTATGGCTGGCAAGCAGCACACACAGCGATGTGGCTGGGAGTGACTTGCATACTGGAAGTTGTTAGTGAACAATTAAGACTATATAAATTTGTATTGTCCATGAGAGGACAGTACAGGACATACATTTCTGCTGGAAAATCTAAGACTACGAGCAAGCTGGGGACACCCTGAAATATAAGCAAGGCCAGTAAGAGCCAAAGTATGGCTGGCAAGCAGCACACACAGCGATGTGGCTGGGAGTGACTTGCATACTGGAAGTTGTTAGTGAACAATTAAGACTGGAGA